ATTTAAAGCTGAAGTAAAGTTCTGAAAAATTAATGAAATTTGAGGAAAATTCCTTCCTTGGTTCCTTGGAATATTTTTTCCATAGGTTATATAGTGACATTGTAAAATAAATGTCAAAGTGAGTTTTACTAAAAAAGAAGAAATAAAAGAATTGTGATTGTGAACGTTTATATTAGGCAAGTAGTTGACAAACAGATTCTAAACGGGTAAAATGTCAAATATACCTATATATATTTTGAAAATCCAATTTTAGCAGGTGAGTATACTGAAGAAAAGCATATTATGAAGAAAAGCAAACTAGCAGTGATCTTTATTATTAGACAATAATATTAGTCAACTAGAACTAAACAAATGATCTACATTTACTTGAAATTCAAGTTCTAATAATAAGTTAAAAAATCAAGAAAAGCTATTTCTTTTAATAACATCACAATATCATGGCTATGTCGTCTATTGGAATAGCTTTTCTAGTTCTCCAAAAGTTTTACGGGAAAAACTAATGTAATAAGGTGATTCTTGCTTCTAGAAATATTTTATTTGCAAGCACTTTTTGTGTTTCACAGGCACAATAATGTTAATGAATCCTGAAAAGTATTTTGACTATCCAGCTTCATTTTTCAATTCCAACTGTACTGAAAAAAAATATTTTTTCTGACCATGACTAGATAAAATACATACATAAATAAAACACTATATGTAAATCTACTATAAATAAATATTCACAATATAAAAATAATTCTCTTCATACCATATATGTTATGTAAAAACACTTCCAGTGTACTGTATTCAACATTCAAACATGCACAGTTTGATCCTAAATTAATGCATCATATTTATTTCCATGGAAACTACTACAACTTGCACAAGAACACCATTTGATAGAGCAAACTGTCAGCTACAAAACAGTTTCTACTAGTCAGCACCATTAGCTATGCATTTTCACTAGTGATGAACAAGAGCCTACGTTCCGTAACGGTGAAAATCTGCACCAGTGGAGATGACCCATTGTCACTGTTGTCACTGCTGAAATACGCCACCTACTGCCTCCCTGTTCTCATATCTACTGTTTGGTCTCTCCTGAAATGTTCAGCAAGCATTGATGAATGTTAGTGAGTGCCATTTTTTCTACATGAAAATTTCTACATGAAATTCAATGACATGGTTTCACTTCTATATGCACTTCCATGTCAGACCGCATTTAGTCAGACTGCCCCTCTTCTGCAATCTCATTCAAAAAAATCTCATTTCAAAAAAATGGAACAGAATATTTGTGGAAAGGTTTAAGCACTACTGCCATACCAGCAAGATCTGCCTCTGACACTGTGGGCAAACATAATAAAATAGGAGGCATAACTTTCAAAGCAGCTCTAGTACACATCATTAATTTCAGAGCAGCCTGTGTGTATATGTGGTGGGACTAGATAGATAGATAGATAGATAGATAGATAGATAGATAGATAGATAGA